CCCCTCCCCCCAGCTATTCCTTAACTATCACATCGACCTTGACATTCCTTGCTGGAAGGCCCCGGAAGCCTAAAATCGCCATTGCGTTCACGTGGACCCAAAGGTAGAAGATCCACCCTAAAAAATCTCCGAGCAATGCGCTCGACCTCAATGCTCTTCCACGCTAAGTATCACGATCTGTATGGTAAAAACACGCCGCGCAGTAGTTGAAAAGGGCCTCTGATGTAGCCGAATCAGCGTTAGAACGTGAGTCTCAATAAATTTGCTCTTTTACATCTTTTGGTTTTAGATCTACGTATTATGTTAAAAAGGATGGGTGCCTGTTGTGGAGGGTGTATCATTTCAAATCTTTTCGTCGTGTTTGACTTTTTACGTCAGGGTTGCATCATATCTTTGGTTGCAGAGATCTAGTGTAATATGGTACTTCTTTTGTACAGGTTAATTACCGGTGCTGAGCAGTTTTGCTCAAAATAGAGTGTATTCACAATTCTAAGCGGCCACTAAATAAAACACATATTTTTGCCACACCATACATTTATCATCGTAGTTTGCCTAGGTAATCTTGTGTTTGACAAGAACTACCGCCAAATAATCATCAAAATAGAGGTTTTCATATTCGTTTAATCTCAAATTATGCTAGAATTATACTTAACATATCATTTTAGTGTATTCTAGCATAGTTTGAGTTCTGAATAAAAACATATATTCCAACGACGTACAGTAATGTGGTCTGACTTTCCCGTTAGACTAATTTTGAAGGCATTCGTACACTTTTTTCAGATCAAAATGAGAAATCCTCGGTTCAAAACAAGAAACAAAACAAAACACTTGTCAAATATGGTTTACAAATCAAAATCGAGTTTGATGGGCTCTAGAATTCCAGATGTAGAAGGCAAAGAGATCACCAATGGCCAGCCTGGACTGATCACTTATCGTTTAGCGATAAAGTACAAGCGCTCCCCACTAGGTCTGACGAAAGTTGAGCATCGTGTTAACTACATGATAAGCGCCGCCATGCTCATCACGTCAACCCAAGTCACGCCAAATCTTGGCGATTCCACGGCAGCTCACACAATCAGATTTCACGCGCGTATTTTAGACTTAGCCGGTTGGTTCGTGATTAGACCTCACAGGAAACCAGTTGTTGAATATGTAACTGATTACAAGTCATCTAGTTTTGATCTGAGAAATTTTCATTTTGAACCGAGGATTTCTCATTTTGATCTGGAAAGTGTAATCACTGTAGTAGTGGATTGAAACGAAAAAGCGATACAACTCGAATTTAAGCTTAACATTTAATACAATCAACTAACCAGGAGGCGTATCTTCTGTTAGTGTTCCCGCCATCGTGTGACTAGAAACATATATGTGTGGGTGTGAACTCACCTAAGAGTGTCTTGGAGTCGCAGTTCGTGGTTGGAGATGCAGAACGTAGATCAATGTTCATGATGCTAAATTCACACCGTAAGAAGTACATGTAGCGTTATAAAAGAACAAATCCATCACGTAAAGTTGCTCGACTTGCTCTTCGAATCAAACGGTACAACCTGCACGTTATACCGTAGTAGGTATTGCCAACTGTTTATCGTCAATTAAGTTTTGAGATGGTCGTATCTTGTTAACTGCGATCCATGTCGCTAATTTAGCGTCAGCATGGTCTCCCCTTACCTATCGGTAAATACTGCTATGACAGTATAAACTGCATCTCAAGAAGAAAACTGACTCGGTATTCTTCACGAGATAAATCAGCAACCTTATCCCGCCGTTTTAGTTTATCAGAAGGCCTCTTCCTGTCTATTCACGATATCAACTTATTATAAACTGGGACGTCGCGCACGATATGATCCCCTCCGGCTGTGTAACAGCATTACCTATCGGTAATTGCTACTATCGTATCACAGTGTAAATGCTACGATATTGATTCGCTGTCCAATACTGTCACATGAGGCACGAATGATGGTATGTGAATACTGATAAGTTGAGGAAATATCTTTCAACGAATCGTTCAATGGTCGGGATCCAAACTACAAAGACATATTCACCATTCTTTCCCACACGAGAATACAGCAGCGCGATGAGCAAATGGGTGTTCTTGGATCCGTGGATGGAGGCTGTGCGTGCGAATATGACAACCGCCCAATCTGAGAATTCCAGTGATCTGTCAGTTCTACGAGTTTCACTTAAGAGCTCATTCCGAGACAGCAGAAACAGGGCGCATGACTATATCGTTCCGATAAAGTATTCGACACTCCTGGAGGATCACGAACGACGACAACTCCGAGAGGCTATGGAGCTTGTTACAATTCTTTCGATAGTAGACAACGATGCATTCGTGAATCTTATGAACGAGAAGTGTGGCGATATTCACACCACAACGAAACATCTGCACGCATCAAATGCATATACTCATGGGTATAATGCTCACTGGCAGCTTTCGATTAATGGAACTCTGCAGACTGGCGCCCTAGTTCACAACCAAGTGTCATGGAGTGCTTTACTTGGACTTCCTAATAACACATCAACTTTCTCCGATCCGTTTTTGCTTGCCAAGCAAAAGTTAGCAGCGATGGGTTTGAAAAAGGCTGAGCGGATGTACAAGTTGTTGATAGACTGGACGATTGAGCTTTCAGCTGCTACCGTTTCAGGAAAACTGCATACTGGAGAAAGTGGGAAACCATTTTCAGCAGCGTTACATAAACTACTTGACACTGGCGTCCCGTATGTTGTCCAGAAAGTTGGTATTCAAGGCGGGAGTGCTTTTATTAAAACTGAAAGAGAACCTGCATCAGGACGTGAGTTTATCAATTCGTTATTGGAGCAACTGACAGGAGATGTGGTTATCTCGCATTATGATTTTGCTGCACCGGACGCAGTAGAACTTTGTGTAGCCGTGACAAAAACAAGCATGGCGCGTCTTATACTAAACCTCAACGACTGGGATACGATGTCACAACTTGTGCAACATGCTGGTACCATGCTAAGTTTAATGCTTAGCGGCAGCGCAATTTGTAAACAAAAGGACGACACTCGCAACTTTCCAAGGAACCATCACGAACGAAGCATCCCACTCAACATAGCTTGCTGTCAAACACCTTACTCGACGATCGGTTCTGTATGCTCCGCAATTGCAAACTTGAGGTGGGCGTGTGGCGTAACTATTTCGCTGCAGATTCTAACTAGCGAGCCAATATCCAAATGGGGTTGGCTCGTGTACGCGATCTGTTGCGGTTTTTCAAACAATAATGAACGGGAAGTGTCAATTTTTGAGGCTTCCTTGACACAAACAGATTTGGATGTGATTGACCAAGTGCTGAAAACTAGATTTCCCGTCCCTACGATCGGGTCAGCGCCCCAAGAGTATGGGTATGTTGTTATGCAAGAAGGAGCACAGTTCCTTTACTCGAATGAAACTACCACTCTTGTGACTACTACATCATGCCGCTGTCGGGCAGCTCGCTGTACGGATATCCGTATGATGGCAAACATGGCACGTGTCGTTGTTCCTGGCTACGATATATGCAGAGTCAAAATTGGTGATGGGGCAGTTTTTATTCCTGACAATTCACGGGGTTTCTCTCAGGGATATCAGTCACGCTGTATTCGTGCTCTCATACTTGACAGATTGGTGGTGGGGGATGATTCGCTCGTGGTCGAGTTATTGTCAAAAATCGGGAAAGGACTGCAGAAGCTATGTATTGCCAAGGCAGAAAGCTCATTTCGCTATCGAAATGATGAAGGTCTGGATCTGAGTGTTTTAGCTGCGATTTGCCCTGAACTGGAGGAGCTCACGCTAATGGCCTATGACGTGGTAGTGTCCGAGCATAATGAACCACTTCACCGTTGGCCAGTAAAGAAAATGAGGCTTTGTGAGACCTCACGCTTCCCTTCACTAACCCAGTGCTTGACGGACAACACTTTCTTACAGCAGCCAATCTTGCTCAGCTTTCTGTTACGTCGTCGTATGGCTCCTCGTTTAGTGAAGATGAGATCAGAGAGCTTAAATCTCATGACGGTGAGTTCCTGCCTCTCACAAAAGAGAAATTTCCTCTCCAGATGAAAGTGGCCTTGCTAAGCGTTGTGGCTGGACTTCATGAACGCAACTCATTTCGCTCTATGGATGCTTACATTGTGGGCATAATATTTCATTTCGCCTCAACCCCAGTTCAACGATGCGTTATTTGCAAGTAGCACGATACTATCGAGTCTGGTTCATCGCATTTGAAGGCACGTTTGAGTGACTGCAGTTTCTACTTTGATTATGATTTTCTTCGGTTCGAATTGACGAGATAAATCTATAATACACCGAGGAATTAAAACTACTATAGCGCGGCAGTAGTGGAAAAAAAAAATCAATGGCAGCGGACTTGTCGTCGCATTGGCGTCGCCGTCAACTTAAAGATAATACTCAACACATTCGCATCCAGACGACGGACTGCCTTCGATTTCTCTGAAGAGTTCATGATGCTGATCACAGCTTTCTTACATTGCAACGAGAAATTCTCCTTGACGAGCGGCGGATAGTCAACGTCATCCGCTAGAGTTTTTCCTTTGTCTTCCTCATCAAAGTCGACGTTACTTGATGCTTCAACATTTAGCTCTACCAAGTCTCGTGACATTCGCATCGATGGGTTTTGCAAATACGGTGCGAGTGTAGACAATGTGGCGCTATACTTTATATCAATTTTCTGGATAGGCCAATCGCGCAACGCATCGTCATGGGTTGGAAGCACAACCACATCGAAGCAACTAAGCTTAATTCTTTCAAGCTTGGGACAGACGACAGCCAGTCTGCCTAAATCCAAGTCAGCGCGATTGTTTGGGTCGTGTACTTCGTCGGGATTGGATTCATCTATCAACATTGATAGCTTCCGCAAATCGCCACCAATGAACCACAGCACGTCCAAAACCAACGTATCCAACTCGATTTTGCTGATGGGGAGACTCAACGACCGAAGACAACATCCTCTTGCTCTAGGAGGATTAGAATCCAACACATCACGAGCGAAACAACTCGTTTCAATATCAATTGTTGTCTTGCAGATATCATAACCAGGGACGAAGCTTTCCGTCCAGCCAGGTGTACTAACAGGGCAATACTGCGCTCGACAACGAATACCTCTCGCTGATCTTAACACTGCGGTGTCTCCCTCAGCCAGTCGTATCGACCTTAGCTCTGCTCCTTCTTGGATGGAAACGAAACCGCACTTAGTAAAGCGCAGTGCTCGTTGTTCTGATGTCACTACGGGGTATCGATTCTTGAGGACGATTCATATAGCTACAACATCTGCCTTTGTCAGCACAGCATCGATTTCCATTGCGAGGACTTAGTCGTTTGGGACAAAGTGTTTGTTTGCCACACCAGCCGTGATGAAGGGCGTGGTGAGGCGGGTTATCGTTCAGAGGAAAAGGAAAAGTGACTAAACTAAGCTTCTTGGTTCTCTGCTCTGTGTTGTCCTCGCCCTCTCGTCCGATACGAGAATAGTGTCGGTTGTGAAACTCCTTGCGTCTTCCCAGGAAACCAGAACATCCTCCGAATGTTCTCCATTTCCATGGCGAGGACTTAGTCGTTTGGGGCAAAGTGTTTGTTTGCCACACCAGCCGTGATGAAGGGCGTGGTGAGCGGCCCCAAGAGAAATTGCGAGCGCGTCCTTAAGTGTGGGGTGGTTGTGGTCGTCCAGTTACCATCCGTCGAGAGAGTGATCGTGTCGACTCTACAGCTTGGACCGGATAATGCTCAAAACAGTTTGACAGCCAACGCCCTAGCAGCTTGATCGATAGTCGACTGGCTTCACCTGTAAGAAGCGCTGTGGCGCCTCCGATTCTGATGGAATGTGTTGAGTAATTGGCAGCTGAGACTCCGGCACTAGTAGCTGTTGCCTTGAGCGCGGTTGCGACGTCCGCCGAGGTAGTCTCACCGCACAGGAAGATACTATCGTCTGCGACTTCTTCTCGAGCACGCAGTATGTGTTTTAATGGAGCGACTGGGCAGATAATCGGATCTTCTGACTTGTGCATTGTGCGCCATGCACCACGACCGTACTGGTCGTTTTTCGATCCCTCAAGTCCTATCGTGACGGAAGTTGCTGCCACTCCAGTTGTTGGTCTGCCGTTCGAGCCGGAGAAGAAGATATTTTTTGCGCTTTAGGCAATAGAAGTGGCGCGTAGATCCAATTTTCAGGTATTCCGAGCGTCGAGTAAGAAAAAGAAGCCCATCAGGACTGAGCCCCACAAAATACGTTGCGCCGGCTGCTGAAAATCGATTCGTCGATGTAGTAGACCTAGAAACGCAGTCGTGACGGGCTGAAGTTTGTGTATGGGCGGCGACAAGCGTTTGATTCCTTGCAGCAGTAGTGTGAAGTCGGGTGAAACAGTGAGGTCAATTCCCAGATAGCGTCGATGGAACCACCGAATGCTAGCGAGTTTCAACTTGATTGTGCAGAATGTGTTGCCATGTCTCCTGCGATTCCACCCGTGTCTCCAACAGTAAACGGCAAAGCAGCCCAGTCTCTTGTTACTTGATCGTCCTGGATGGCGGAGCCATGGTGACCACCCGAGCTGTCTAGAAAACTCGCACCATTGACGCCAGCTGGATCTGTATTTTATTGATGTGGTGTCTGCAATAGCTCGTCCACGGAGCAAGTCTCCCAGGCGGTCCAGAGATTCCTGAATTGTGGTAGGATGTTGACCTGTGTCCACGAATGAGATAGGTTAGCCCACGCGCTGTAAAGAGGATGCAATCTGCTCCAAGCCCTTGACCCAGCATCCGCCATTGTATTCAGTTCTCCTGCAATGTGTTGTGCGGAACACGTTAATGAGTACCGAAACGCTGCCAGCGATATCAGTCGATTGTACATTCGGGCTGTTCGATGATGGGTCGAGCGTTTTGAGAGCCACGCTACCGCACTCATGTTGTCTATCCACAGGCGGACATGGGTACGATCCCGACCTTTTGGGGCCCATGCTGGACCTGAGTGACCGCGAGAACCGCGCTCATCAGTTCTCTTACATTGATCGAGTTGTCTTTCATTGAGGTGGCGAAACCATCACGTACGTCTTGGCTGAATTGAAGTCGGATATACTGGCGGAGTTGTCGCTCTAGCGCACAGATACCGGTATCCGATGCGTCCATCATGACGTAGTAAGTTGTTGTCTGAAGTCTCGCGAAATGCTCGACTGGAATTGAGTTAAACTGGTGTTCGACGGTAAGTACTGCACGGAACCAAACCAAGTCCTCGCGCACATCGGCAGGCACACGTCTGCGCTCGTGTAGGCTGTGAAACGTCGAAGCAAATACCTGGACATTTTGATAGAAGGATCGTGCTGCTGGAAAACAAGTCGATACGTAGCGTAGGCTTCCAACCAGCTTACTAATTGACGAGAGGGAACATGTTGCTGCTGTCAAAAGGTAGTCAATCCGGCATCGCGCTTTGTCGATCTTTTGAGTGGGCACAGAGACTGTGCCATTTTCTGTAAACCAAAGCAGTCCAAGCGCTTTGGTTTTCGTCGACCACTGTGTAAACTTGTCTTCGTTTAGTGCTCGTGGGCCGAGTACCGTAGTCATGGCCTTCCGTAGTGCAATGTCCGCTTGCATACACCTTGGTCCAGTTGCAATTTCAATACAGGTATGGTCATCACACCACACGTTCCCGACGAACTGACTGCTGTCGATCGGCGTGAGATTCGCAGGTGGACGCTGACTTTCGTAGAGTGCATTGATGAGAGATCTGGCTACGGAGTAGAAAGCCGGGGACCCACACCAACCAAATCCACAGGACAGGTCAATAACGATGAAGCCGTCGAAATGGAAGGCAAACATGTGCACGTGGTCGGCGTTGATAGGGATATGACGAAAGGCTCCAGAGACGTCTCCTATCATCATAAGCAGAGGATGACCCGGGAATCGGATTCGAAGTTCCCATATACGACGTGCTATATCCTTCGGCGGGTTGTAGCTGACATCGGGAAAGTTACACCGATCGGTGAAGTCGTTTACGGCAGCTCCCATCGGGAATGAGTAGTCGTTGATCACTCGGACGCCTTGAGGCGATCCTGCTTTTTCGACAACCCAATCGGGCTTATGAAGATATCGGTCCATAGGTCCGACAAATCTGCATTCACCACTAAATATCGTCCTTCCCGGTGCCCTTTGGCAATGTGTTTTCGGATACGATCTAAGTGCTTGTTGATCGTCTGATGGTTCGAAGGGTGTTGCTGCTGTTCTTTGGGCCGATGCGTCTTCCACCGTGGCTTAACTCCGTCCCGAACTATTTCGTTCCATCGCACCATGGTTGCACGCAAGGTTGCGTCTGCTGGCAGTGGGAGTTCAAATAAATCCTTGTTCGGACGGGTGTCCTCTGCTGTTTCACCACGAAAGACCCGTACAAATTGCCCGAGAGGTTGCTTCAGCGCCCTTGCAAGTTGCAAGTCAGCACGAATTCGATCAACGTCGAGACCTTCAAGCGGCACTTCTCGTTGTGCGGATAATTCCACATTATATATCGACGCGAGTTGTTGATACCGACGATGACGTGAGATTTCAAGCTGGTTGCTGGCTTTAAGTTGAGATTTTTGAAACGTTATGTATGCCTGTTGCTGTTGACGATGGAACGACGTATGAGCTGTAGATGCCTGCGCATTCTGATGTTGTTCACCCAGCGACTGTTCTCGTGGGGATATCTGTACTGAATTGGAGAATGCCTGTTGTTCTTCACGCCGCCGACCAGTGGCAGGGTTTGGCGCTGTGATTCCGGCCGATTTAGGCTTTTGGCGTCATAGATCACTGAAGTCAGAGGCTAGACCGAGAAAGTGTTTATCGATCCAGGACTTTGCGTCGGCCGGTAAGGCTAACGGCTTAAAGTGCGCGCGGTTGGGGTCAAAGCACTTCCCTGGTACTGGTCCAGTGCAGCCTTTCTTCGACAGATATCGCATGCACATCACTTTGTTGCCTTGTTTGGGAAGCACAGCGAGAAGTTCCTTAGGTACCATCGAGGCTTTAGCAGTCTTGTGTTCGCGAGGATGGTGCTGCTTAGTGCTTGGGGCTGGACGTGTTGGTCCGGATGCGACTATAGCTGCCACACGGCGATCTTGTTGGGCCTGGTACAGCTCCATGAGATGGCCATCACTCCGCGTGAACTCTCGACCCACGAGAGCTGCTGCTTGGATATTGGATGCTATAATCAGACTTCGAAACTTCCCTAGCTTCGAGTTTATCCAGTACACCAGCATAGTGCAGGTGGAGGCATCGGGTCGCGCGAAGGCTGCATATTCCACAATAAACTCGGATCCCGTCTTGATGAAGTCGCAGACGGTTGTATTGTAAAAACATTTTGCGAAGTACAGCAGATTGTCAAAGGCATCGACAATCTCTCCGATGTTGGCTGGCGGGTTCGCAGGTTGGTGGGAGTTGGAGCGCCCGAAGTTGGCCATATTAACAGCGTCTGTGGTATACTGCGCCTCGACCCCTTCGAAGATACGTCGGAAGTGCATCAGGGATAAGCCTCTGATACCAAAACTGAGGTCATATGCCGCACGGAGAACTGGTGGTGTTGAGAGAAATCTGGTGTGCCGGGCTTGTTGAGCAGCTTCAAGAACAGCTTGAGCGTTTTTACCTAACGTTCCAGTGTGCGCGATGGCGTTGCGAACTTGACTCTCGACTTGCGAAGGGCGAAACATCGAGGAGTGAATATCCGCACGCGTCTCCAATGTCGGGACGTCGGCATCGCTTGTCATGAACAGTTCCTGAATATCCGTATCGGCGTATCGCGCTCGTTTGTCTAGAGGCCGGTTCTGAAGCCGAACCAAGTCGATGGCCGCTTGCCTCGTTGTGTTAGCACTGGCGTTTCCTTCGTCATCTGAATCACTGAATGTTAAATCAACGTCGTTAGTCGAAACGTTGGGCATAACGGTGTTAGTTCTGGTGTCTGGAGCAGCCTCCTTCTCCTCCAGTACAGGGTCCTTAAACACATCAGCTGAGGTTTTGCCTCGGGCAGTCAACTCGCAGTCCACGATGTGTTGTCGGCGGACGTACGCGATTGCGAGTGTGTCCGGTCGTATTAGGGGAACACGTTGATCAGGTTCGTACGGAACACTAAGCAGGGTCGATGTCACACATGACGGTAAACCGGACCTGCTCTTGCCACATGCCACGATTACTTGGTTCTGCTTGTCCAGTAGCTCCAATGCATTAAGGACCATACTATTCACCGAAGCCCCCGTTTGAAGAGCGTAATTGAGGCGGTCGATTGCAATTACCGTCGACGTACTACGAAGCTGCACGCATACTGTTTGTGCCTCATGGCGGACGTGGAGCTGCGCAATATGGTCTTGCATCGAATATCCTGTAACGAGTCCGTAGGCCCATTGGTCGCTGCTATCTCCGGCCGACTGGACAAACGCGATGGGGTGGCCTACGTAGGATCCTGGCCACAATTCTGCCTCCACGGATTCGACGATGCGATGGCGCAGCACGGCCAGTTTGACGTCGAATTCTGGTCCGTCGTCACTCGTGTCCGACCCGGTCTTCCTCACGATAGCTGAATTGCCTTGGACCCGAACAATAGAGAGGTAGGAAAAGCCTTCCAGGGATGGTAGGTGGGGCGGTCCCACAAAGGCAAGAGCACCGGGAGTGACGCTAGACGTAGCCATTCTAGGGAAGAGGTGGAAGGATGTTTGGTTGTTCTTATCGTTCAGAGGAAAAGTGACTAAACTAAGCTTCTTGGTTCTCTGCTCTGTGTTGTCCTCGCCCTCTGGTCCGAGACGAGAATAGTGTCGGTTGTGAAACTCCTTGCGTCTTCCCAGGAAACCAGAACATCCTCCGAATGTTCTTCATAATATCTGTATTATTTTTATTTGTTATTATGATGAGCCACTGAAGGCCAAATACCCTAGACCCGCAACAAAGCATGTATATCAGCCATTTCCATCGGTCAAAAGAGAACTCAAGAGTCTTGAGCTGCGTCCCTGATGGGAATTCGGCAACTGCAGAGCACAGTGCAGTAAAAACTCCATTGAAATCATTGAACTCCCTAAGTCGTACTTCACGGACCCGATAGCAGGTAGACGTGTCAGATTTTTTCAGCCATCTCACCAAGCACACACTCACGTAACAGCGCATTCAATATCAATCCACCGTTAGCTACGACAACCGACGAGTCCGTCACGTTATCGTCATAATCGTCAGCAAAATCTAGAAGAAAAAAAATCTCCATAGATGTTAGAGCAAGTGGAGTGACTGTCGCCCTGGATGTTTTAAGCCACACCTCTTTTGCCACAACATACTCACACACTGTGGATGCACAGCTAGCCGCATCGCTCAGTTGAAGCATATGCCCGTCTCCATTCAGTGATTCTCTTGCGTCTGTGTCGACGATCTTACCGCTGTTGAACAAAGTCTGGCCACCGGAGGAACGCCCAAATCCAGCACTGTATTCAGTTCAAGTGATTTAAAACGCGACGTCTTCTCTGCTTCCTTCGCCTTCCGCCACCCCGAAATCTGTCCCGTCCGAAATATACTGATCTTCTGAAAATCCAAAGATATAAATTCAGATTCATCTTTTCCCGTTCTTTAAGTTTCTCCATTACCACACTCTAAACAGCGGCGAATATGTCCACTGGCAGTGGGCGACCGAGTTGGTGTGGGTGCACAAGAGTGGGCTTGCCTGAACGGCGACCCCAATGACAGGTGTCGTGACTGCGCGGACGGTGAGGATGCTGTGTGTGGCCAGTGTGTCTGGACATACAACAGCACTTACAAGGACGGTGCCAAGTCGTACGGTGGTTATGCTGACTACGTGCGCATCGACAGCAATTACACTTTCAAGATTCCCAAGGCCATCCCCTCCGATGTGGCGGCACCTCTCCTTTGTGCTGGAGCCACGGTTTTCACGCCACTGAAACAGGAGGGCGTGAAGGCAAGTGACCGAGTCGGTGTCATTGGCATCTCGCCATTCAGTTTATTCGTGCACTGGGCACCACACCTGTCGCCTTCTCCCGTTCTGCGGACAAGGAGAAGGAAATCCTGTCGTCGGGCGCCGAGGAATTCTACGACCTCAGCGACCCCGAGCAGCAGAAGAAGGCGGCGGGAAGTGTCGACTTTTTGCTGCTAACTGCTGATGCCAACAATATGCCGTACGACCTGTACATGACTCTGGTTCGCCAGCGTGGTACGTTCATCATGCTAGGTGTCCCGAACGATCAGATAAAGATTACTCCGTGGCTTTTGGTTCCACGTGCTGTGTGTGTGCACGAGGCAGTGTGATCGGTAGCATCCAAGATATGCTGGAGGTGAGACATTTACTATTTTGTATCATACGATCTGTGATTGAGCACTTTTAACTGCTTAGCCAGCAGCGAAACCCAGACCGGGGAACAGCGAGCGGTAGCGCGCGAACACAGGCTTTTCGTATGCGTCGCGGAAGATGACCTTGTTAAGGCCAGCCATACCGTGCATAGGCTCCTTGTTGGTCATGAGACGCTTAGCGATCGTGTCCATGGGGTGGAAGATCATAAGCTCGCAGAGACCAGAGCATGTAGAGCCCAGTAGACGCGCTGCCACAACGCCACCGGTAGTGGCCTTCTTATCGTTAGCAATAGCTACCATTGCTGCTGATGGTGCGGGTCTGGAGATCTCTGTAGGACGAGCGAGGGAAGAGCGAGAATGACGATTCGGGTGTGTGGTCCCCGAGGGTATCTGTAGGTTTGGCCGTGACGGCGCCGTGTATCGTCCAATACACGACGTTTACTGAAGTTCTTTCAGCTTACAGCTGAAAGCTAACAGCACTTGTGGGGCATATTTTCAAAAATTTGGCAGTATGAATGATATTTCGGAAAAGCTGAAGTACTATTAGTGAGTAATGACTTGCTATTTGTATGAGACTAGGCTCACATGGGACGCAGCTCGGGTTTATGAATTTGGTCAAATTTCAACACTGGCACCTTGATTAATTCCTCATTTGAACCCACTAAACTTTTCAGGAAATTACGGTACTGTGCTTGCTAAAGTTTATGTTTAAATACGCAACTATGACTTTCGTTTTAGAAATGTAAATATGGGGCAAGGAAGTGTGCAACGAACCGTCGCGAAGTATCCGCCGTGTGCTTAGTTAAGTTGCCAATCGTCCAGTATTTGGATGGAAGCTACATATGGGAAGTTGAAGGGAAAGGCGACCTTTGGGTGCTCAGTACACTTTGTAGGGTCAGACCAGTACTATTTTTCAACGTGAAGTCAACTTGAAGCTCAAGCGCTCAAGTGCAACCGAAACGTTTCTAACGGATAGAATGATTTCTACGGAAGTTAATGCATCGCTATGAGTATCCATTGGCTATTAATAAGTTTATTTAGTAGCTCTTGCTTCTCACCACTACGTCTGTGGCAGCTATCATTGTTCATTTCTACAGCATTGGTACAGAGGTCAGAGGTCCGCTGGCTTCAATCCATGGCCATGTGGGCCCTGGCCGGCTTGTTCTCGTCAAACGGGCAGGTTTGCACTGTGATGTCTTGGTTGCTGATACACGGACGTAACTGACTTGTTTATCAATTTGATAGTGAAGAAGATGGAAAACTCGAGCTGGGTGTTCAGCTTGCTAGCGTTGGGCACCACTAGTTTCATTCGCTACTCCTGATCTCAGGCATGTATTACTGTGGTTTAAAGCACTGGCTAATCGAATGAAGCTTTGTCGACGGGGTTGGCTACGTTAACCTATTATCGAAATACTAAGGGCACACTACAGTAAAGCTATCTGGATCTTACGACTTCTTCGACACGCAGTTTGGTTGCCCGCATTGGCAAGTGAAAAGCGTCAAATTCTTTTCGCGATACCGGAACGACAGCTCCTGTAGAGATGGAATGTCAGCAGCAGCAAAAATACCCAGCCGCGCTCCGTTGGCCCACTCCCATTCGTGCAGTTCGCAGTTCGGGGTACATGAGGGGTTGATAAACCGACTTTCGTTACCACATTCAGCAGCGTCAATGAAAACGGAGGTGCGACCATCCCAGATTGCTTTCGTTTTCAGTGTCACTTGATAGCGCCAATCACTACGAGACATGGCGTCCTCATAAAACAGTAGCTCTCCGACGTATTCAACAACAAAAGCACCTTTTGGAATCGGGGAACTGCAAACGACTCCAATACCCACGCTGGTACTGATTAAGTCAAGTTGAAACCGAGGAACGAACCGATTCCCGCATGACACAGAGCAATTTGTGTCATCACAAAGCAGTTACATTGCAGCATTTGCACAACCACTGGTCAGACGAGTTCCACCGTCCGCGATACAGCGGTCACCACCACATCCGCAGTTATAATGGTAACCAATTGTATTTTCCGAACATGGAAATGGCTTGGAGGCAACGAAGACGTTATTGGAGACGTAAAACACGTTGTGGGGCCATGGGACTGGTTCAATGAAGTCGTGGTTTTCGCCGACACGGGGTAGATTAGCAAGAGAAGCAGTGGTTTGACCCGGAGCAGTCATGGTTCCGGTTTCGTGACTGCGTTTGGTTTGCGAACGATCAAATAGTCGAATCCACACTTGTTGGCCATGGGTGAGGCCCGACATTGATGCTGGATTTGCTTCAGATTGTGGAGTGGCTGGACCGAGGTTACCAAGACCGACCTTCGAGGTAGCTCGCAGCATGAGTACCCAGCGTCGTCAAACAGGTGAGGAGAACGGACTGGATTGCAAAATGAATGAATACTGGACTAAGTAAGGATTTATACATCTGGTTTCTTAGGAAGATTTCTGGTTTACAGGGCAAGATTGTGACATTGCAAAAGTTTATCGTGATGCACGCAAGCGCACCTCTACGTATCCGTTGGGTGAGAATTTCTTCGGATGACTTCTAGATGCAAAGAGAACGGACCTTGTCAGATGTACAGTCAAGTACTACATGTTAGAAAAATATCGCCAGCGTTGTGGGAGTTCTAAGCCATCAGTTACGAACAGCCTGCCATTCGAGAATTTGCACGGATGCCAACAATCCTCGAGCTAATTAAAAGTGAGAAACAAGCGCAGGATGAGGAAGAGAGTCGACCGGCGATTGTCGCCGTCGAGGCTAGCCGCTCTTTCATCATGGACACGAAGCCGGATCCTTCAGAGAATATCTCTCTAGAGATGTGTGTCCTCCGGGTTGAAGAATTTGACAAGATGTTTCGCATCGACTTGATCGACCGAGAGCTCGAATCGGATGGAGACTCATTGTTGAAAACGTTTGACTCCCTCGATCAGGCCAGGCGCAGCAAGTTCCTGTTTCAATTGACGATATGGAAGAACCGCAAGTCGGAGCTCAATCGATTGGAATACCGTCGGGGATTTAGTTACCGTTTTGAAAAGGTGCATTCACTTCGACTTCTGTAAGGCAACCCGGCGGGGAGTATTCAAATTCGACAGCTGCTACGGGCTGAGCCAATTCCTCTCGATGGGGGTGTCGGTCATGTGGTCCATTCTCCTAAGCGTTACTGTGCTAATTCGCCGCGTTTTTCGAGCGACAATTGTACTCTCACCACTCCGACACGCGAAGACCAAAGCATCGACGCTGATGAGACGGCTGTTGACAGAGCTAATGCAAAAGTAACACCGGTTGCTCAGGTGTCCGGGAAACGAAAGGTAACGAAGGACGACGGGGGCGTGGCTGCACCGAAGAAAACACGCAAATCCAATCCAAAGTCGCTTTGTTTCGACTCACCTGAGCAAATATCAAGTGCAGCGGACCGAGCCTGATTGGTTCGACGGAATGGAAATCTGGGTGGATGTGCAGCCAAGATATCTACTAGTGTCGAGCAACCACGGCAGGCAGTTACATTACAAGCGTAGTATTGCTTCATCTTTGGCTTATTATAAGCAAAATATCGATGGCGATTAGTTTATTTGGCCTTCAGATTAAGGTGAGACTAGTAAGGACAAAACTAACTACGGTAACAAATAGAAAAGTGGAGCATTAGTATCGTTCTGAGTATTGATAAGCTGAATTATATAGCCGGCCGAAATGACTACACAACAAAGAAAAACATATCAATTTAATGAATGAATATAATACTCCGCGCTTATTTTTTTTTAGTGTTAGGGAGCATTCCTCAACATAACTTTGCTTGAATATGCCCGTCAGTAAACGTGTACGTACTAGAGACTAGAGACTCAAAACCTCGAAGAACTCACTTCGGTCAACTGCCAGGTGCAAGTGCGCCCGAAACCGTAAGAGACTTTACGTCCCTAAGTCACTTAAAGGGAGATAAACCCATACGTCACCAATTCGATAAAAACTTTTCTAGAAAATGCCCGTCAGTAAACGTGTACGAACTAGAGACTCAAAACCTCGAAGAACTCACTTCGGTCAACTGCCAGGTGCAAGTGCGCCCGAACCATAAGCTACTTTACGTCCCCATGTCACTTAAAGGGAGATAAACCCAATACGTCACCAATTCGATAAATGTCTCCCAGAATCCATTACCCACTCGATCGCCGACCCAATATGATATAATAGTTGTTGTGAACTTTATATTTCTAAAGTAGAATATCAAAACAATAATAATGAATTTACTTTATGTAGATCGAATTGGAATTATTGTGTTAAGACAGAAACTGGAGTATCATGCGCCACTAAAGCTTATTTTACACGAAATGGTCTGACTGTTTGCCAAATCAAAAGAATTTTTTCATAGCTCATTTTCCCTTCTGAGGAGAGTACACCTCCAAAGTTACAAAATAACACAATCATGGCAGACTCATGGCTACGTTCCCGGATAATACGAGCGGAACAGCTTTCGGCAGTCTAAGCCAACTCGCAAGTGTCGGTTTTGAGAGGCATGGTGGAAACGCATGTTATGCTGGCCACGAAAAACGGAGGGATGATAGTAATGACCTATTTTTCGAGCGAGGAGATGTTTGTGCGTGGTTCAGCGGGACATCAGATGAGCTCCCTCAAATAGTCCCGGGACAAATTGGTAGATCGGATGCCGTTCTCGAATCAGGATCAATGGTCATCCATCGTGACAACGATGTGGAAGTGTGCTCGTGTGTCGACGACGATCATCTACCAATGTCACAAGATTTGGATTCGTTGTCGGAGGTCGATACCACCATATTTTGCAGCCAAAGAGAGCTGCGTGAAATGAATTCTCGCTTGACGTTTGTAGTTCCTTCTACTAGCTGTATGAAAGATATTAAGAAGCAAGCGATTCGACGAATGGCTACTGCTTCTGAAATGTCGATGCCCTGTGGTATATGTGAGTTGATTCACTGCAGCAGTGAAGTAACTTCAAAGTTACTGACGGACAAATATATTAAGGTACGGGTGTTGTTATTAACGTATATTAATTATCAACACTAACAATTTCTTGTGCCAAGCTAATGCGGCAGTGTCTTAAATTGCACCCCGAAGCAAGTTTACCGGGAGAAATAAGACTACAGTACGATGTATCCGATATTGATTCTCGTTTAGAAGGTCTTCTCCTCTATCGCCCAGGTACCTATAATTATGCCCGATTTCGTATGCATTTGCTGACACAAGACTTCGATGTTTTGAGTAGCAATAACGATTGATGATGCCGGCGTACACATGAATGTATGTGATACTTGTAGAGAACACGTGGAGTCTGGAAAATATACTGTGCCTTCTGCATTCGCAATTGCGAACGGGAACTACATTGGAACTCTGCCTCAGAGGTTTAAGACAATGACGCGTACAGATGAGCAGGCCGTAGCGCTTGTTTTGCCTTGTGTGTCGCTTTCTGTGGTCACTGGAGGTTCTTGCAAGACGTTAAAGTCGCACCACTACGTCGTACGAAACACAGAGGGAAGCATTGTGGAGATGTTACCTCGCGATTTGACAGGTCGGGTTCGAGTCGCTATGGTTGGAAGTATGACCCCAGAGCAAGCTGCTGTTTGCCGGAAGCGATATCAACTTAATTTAAGTCTTTGTAACCAATTATTGTGCTTCCTGAAGAAAAACAATGCTGGATACCAGCACAGATCAGATGCACTAAACTCTAATTCTCGTACGATTCCAACGAATGTGATAATTGATCGCACGAAGTCAACACATCAGTCACCAGATGATGAACAAGTCGTGTCAGATATTCGAGATGAGAGTACGTACTCGACGTTTGGCTCGGTTATTGAAGAAAGCGTACACACTAACGATGAGGGAACATGGATTGGGGCGTCAAGTCTACTTTATCAACAACACAGCCATAATTGGACTGACATTCTAGTCCGGAAGTCGAATTCCTACGTACCGATGTCAAAATGGGCCGTATGCACTCAAATGCTCCCGACCCTTTTCCCGTGTGGTTGCGGTGGACCTGCGGAGCCTCGTTCAACGAGTTTATCTACCCAGAAATGGATTTTGCGGTGTTTGCAGCTTGATAATCATCGATTTGAAACACATTACGGATTTTTACTTCTGGCTTTCGATTTCTTAGCGACTCAGGAGGCGAGGCGAACGATGTATGTCAAGATGAATATTAAACGCCACGCTTTAAAAGTAGTCGAGCTTCCTCGGAGAACTGTGAGAGAGGCAATAAAATATCTTAACTACATGGGGGCATGTCGGCAAAAAGGAATGAAACCGCGACCTCCGTCGAATGATATTCAACGTGTTATCGACTTGAGAAAAGGACTATACTTTCCAGAATCATCGTTTTATGGATCAAATGCAGGGCGAATGCGCGCCAGACATGATCTTTTTGGGATGTTAAAGCGTTTCGGCCCTCTTCAAGTGTTTTTACTGTATCGCCTGACTCTGCTGGCACGTACAACATTGCAATTAAAATTGGACAAGTTGATAAAAAGGCTTTGGACGAAGTCAACTTGTTATTGGTACCTAATAGAGCCGAGCGAAAGTCTATTGCTACTGCTCATCCTGTCGAATGTGCCAGGTATTTTTTGAGAGTGATGGATACAGTAGTAGATGTGTTCCTCGGGTGGGATACGAAGGCAGGAGCACCAAAGCGCGGTGGTGGTATATTCGGGGTTGTACGAGCATTTGGTGCTGCTGCCGAGACCCAGCTTGCAGGTGATTTACATGCTCATTTTGCTGTGTGGTTATATGGGTTCCCGTCTACATCGCAGGAGTGCCAAACTGCCCTCCAAACCAATGCTGATTTTCGAGAGCGCGTTACACGCCTTGCGGATTGTGTACTAAGGACGAAACCCCCATCTATCGTAGATGACCGCCGGTGCCCTGTGTGTTTTGCGGACAATTCACTCGAGTCACTGACTCCAGGAATTGATGCATTTCGTCGCCCAGCTCCAGGAACAACAGCCCCATTAACCTCCCGCTGCACAGTGTCTGGAGAGAATTTTGGAGATAAAGACATTATTAATCGCTCAATAGAAAACCTTGCTGACCAGCAACAATTAAATGTGGATGGGGGACAGGCCGATTTTGAAAAATGCCGTCCTCCCTCGTCGATTGCAGCTGGTGAATTAGCAACTTCACTTCTCGTTCGCGATATCCAGGTACACTATTGGAACCACTGCAAGTCGTGCTTTAAGGTCTGTACAAGCATTTACTTCTCTTTCAGTCATTTAGATATACTTACCATTTTTCTTGTTGAATTCACAGACAACGGCGCGTACACCGAAGGCTAGCGTGTGTAGATTTTTCAAACCTGAAGAAGTACATCTCAGTCCAACAAGCATTGAAGAAGGACCAAAACTAAAACTTCATCGCCCGATTGGGTGCGAATACGTTAACGCGTATAACGCTGTCGTCATGGAGGTGTTGAAGTGCAACCATGATGCCCAATTCGTTTTTGGTGGTTCAAGGATACTGCAGCCTACGTTGCCAAATATTGCATCAAAACCAAAATCCAGTGGAGAATCATGCAGCCATATCGTTAGCGGCGTTTGCTAGAGCAACCAACAATACGAATGGACTGCCACCAGAAACTACACCACTCGAACGCGGTTATCGGATTCTTGGATCGATGCTATATTCCGTCACTAATGGCCAAGAGGTGGCTGCAACAATGGCAGCACTGTATGTTCTACGTGAAACTGCGTTTTGGTTTTCCCACGAGTTTGTCCCCGTGAACTTGCGAAATATTTTACGTAAAACTGTGGAATCTGTGGAGATAACCTTATCTCAACAGCAAATGCAACGTATCCAAGGTGCTGTTTCTACGGAAAATGCACTGGAGCGCTATTGGAAACGTAATACTTCTGTGGAAAATATATCGTTTATGGAGATTTGTGAAAATTACGAATACTCCGGTAAGCAACGATGTCGCCGTTCATCTATTGACCACAGCGTTTCATTTTCAAAGCTGAGTTTACCGAAAGTTTTTGTTCAATGTGGTGAAGAGATCCCTGATATTACATCTGATTTGGACAATGACCAGAGCGACTTTTACTACACTGCGGTCCTGACGTTATTCAAACCTCATAGGAAAAATACGCTGTTAACGGAAAATCTCTCGTTACTAGGAAACTACAAGGCCTTCATTGAGTCGGGTGATCAGAGGCTAGTGCGAATGCTGCTAAAGTACGAGGCCCAGTGGCAAGACTTTCATCACTCGAAAAGAAATAATGACGTTGAAGAAGAATCGCTGGAAGAAGAACTATTGCGAACCAGGGCTCCTCCCTCGTCATCGTGGATTCCAAGTGGGAATCAGGCAAGCACAAATGATGACATTGGCATCGAAACTGCAACCGATATTCCGTACGAATTTCTTGATGTCACTGATATCGCCACACCCCATTCATCAACAACAAAGTTGTGTGAGGATGCTGTCAAAACTGTTGGAGCTGCTAAGAATCTTGCTGCAGCAATTGCTACTGCAAGTACGATGTACAGTACAACACCGCACATATTGCTTCCTGCAGGATTCACAACAGACAACTATGCGTCTCAAATCATTAAAAAAATCTGATGATGAAGCTGTATTTGGGACTCAACAGTTTACTGATGCATTCCCTACATCACGAACCCGGATAGAACGTTTGAACGAGTGCTGGGGGGCCGTTCCGTTTCCTTCTCCGAATGCGGAACGACAATGGACACCGGAGACGTTGCCCGCTTTTCCTAAAATCACCATGGTTTCACAGGCATACGAGCTTAATTTTTGGCAGCACGTAATCTTTGAGGTGTGCGCTCGCCATCTTCTCTATGCTTACTGTAAGGACATTATGATGTTATTGGAGAATATTCATTTTCATCACGAAGCCAAACTGATCCGTACGAGATAAAGGACCAACTCATCGGGTATCTT